CAAAGGCTACCATTTTTTGATGTGACCCATTCATGTATAAAGATGCTACTAGTCCATAGCCGTGTTAGACATACTTAGCCAACTGTAAGTTTGGCTTTGTGTAGCGTTAACATGCGCGGGGGTTCAGAAGAAGTTTAGCGATTTCTAGATGTAAGCTCTCATCCAAATACTTAGGAATTTAAACAAATAACAACAAGAAGAGAAATTGGGCAGTTTACATCTGAACCCTTTGGCTATTACTGTTGTTTTAATGAGACCCTGTACCTGGGGTGATATTCAGTTTCTCTGCTGTGCACAGGTTTCTGTGTTCATAGTGGAGTGAGAGGGAAGGAGGAAATAAGAGTTTTTAGAATTTGAGGGCAAATGTAGATAAAGGCCAGTTGTATGCCTGTAAAATAGATATAATAACACCCAGGACTTTTGTATCTTTCTAAGGAGGCAGTACTGTGAAAGCCCTTTATAAAGCCTGAAGCATTTCTCACACAAAAGGCTGGAAGATGAAACGGAGCAGTGTGACTGGTTGTTCAACAAATATTAATATTTATTGAGTGCCTGCTATGTGTCACCTTCTAGCAGATACTGGAATATGTCTCTTCTGGAACTTCTGCTGTGTTGCCCTTAGGGTCCCCTTGTGCTTATGATACATTCCTTATTTCTGTAGCCTCTTGGGGAGGGGATCATTGAAACCAGGACATGGAGAGTTGCCTGGGTGGTGGGAAGCCTTTCTTGCTACTGTTGCTGCCTGCTTTACTCTTTTCTTTATGAAGTTCTACTTCTCCAGGTAGAGAAAATGGCCACTTCACAGTTTCCAACTTTATCTCACTTCCAGTTCTGTTTACAGGTAGAAGTTAAATTACTCCATTTGGATCCTGAGTCTAAATCCCTGGGTGATGGGATCTGATTGGCTCAGCTAGGTCACATGTTCATCCCTGGTCTAGTTAAGTGTGTAAGGGGAGTGGAGTCACGTAGTTTCCACCTCACAGCTAAGGGTCTAGTCTTTTGTAGGGGGAGGGGAGGGAAGGAGCCATAGGATATCATCTTACATAAAACTGTAGAGCTTACAGTCTAGCAGGAAAGAGAGACATTACATGCATTATAGTGGGGTTAGTATGGGTTGTATGTCAGCCAGACCTAACCTGAGTAGGAGATCCTGGAAGATGTCCCCAGGGAAGGATGGATAGGGTTAACCGAAGCGGGCAGAGTGACATGGACCCTGGGAGGGAACCAGTTGGCTGGTGAGGAATGAAGGTTCCAGACAGAGTCAGCAGAGGAAAAGCCCAGTGGCAAGAAAAACTCTGACTACATCGGCAGTGTGGAAGAAACTGAAAGACACAAAGAAATTTGTTTAAGAAATTTACAAGGATAGCTTGATTATGTGCCATTCTCTTTGCTTAGATTGGGAGTTCTTTGAGGGCAGGGACCATTTTTCCTGTTGCCTTTGGATCCAGTTGGTGTGGGGAGAATTTTACATGGCAGGACGCATTCTGTTTCATGCAGTAGTTTCTTAGTGCTTTTTCTTCCCAGCTTACAGCTGTTCAGCCTTGAACCCTTATGATATGTCTTGACATGTATCCTCCGGCCTTTCACGGGGAAGATGGATTGCATACCTTCACAGAGTGTGCTTCCTACCCCTCCAGGTTGGCAAAGAAGGATAAAAGGGAAATGATGGTCAGTTTTGGAAGGATCAATAATTGTCGATTTTTCTTTCCTATATAGGTACTGCTGCTTGTATATCACCCCCCTTCTCAGCCCCTGAACAGATGTTTTATTGGGCATTGCTGGCTATGCGTTTGTTTTGAAAATTTTGAGACATTATTGAAAGAGGAGAGGGGTAGAAAAAAAAAGCCCATAATTGATTCTAATATACATTTAATTTGGCAGAACTTGAGAGAGACTTGCTGGGATAAGGCGGGACATTTCTTTGATCTCCCAGACTTCTTATCGTGGAAGGCAACAGGTGTCACAGCACGGTATGTTAATTACAAGTTGGATTTTATTTGCGCTCATCCATTCTCAGGTGTCTGTATATATATTGCTTTCTTAACTCGCTTTGACTGGACGTACTGTTTGTACATCTGCATGCGATTTTGCATACTTGAAACATCTTGAATCCATCTTCCACCTCCACTGCACATACCCAAGCACCATTGTTCCTGTGGGGCCTGGAATGTGGGTATCCAAGGTGAAGCTGTTCATTGAAATTGGACATATTTGAAGGAGATTCGTGAACAGTCCATCATGAAATCTGTTTTTCCAGAGGCACGTTTTACATAGTGAATAAAAGGGAAAAAAATGTTTTTTTGGCCCCTAAAATTAAGGCAGGAAATATATTTGTTAAGGAAGGTGATTTATGTGGATGGGTGTGTTATGAACCTATTTTGCTTTTTCTATTAATGTACCAAATCATTGCAGAGTATAGAAGTATATATACTGAAGTCAACAATGCTCTTTAAATAAATTATGAATGTTATAAATAGGTATGTGCTACATGGCAGAGACAATTAAAAAAATACTCATTGAGTGTGAAATTGTGGCTACTATAATTAACAGTGGATGTAGGCATGGGGATATATATATATATATATATATATAGATAGATAGATAGATAGATACACACACATACACACACGTGTGTGTGTATATGTATATACATATACACATACATATATTTATTATACACACACACATATGTGGACAGGTCTGGCATGAAATCTCAAAGTATGCATGTCTGTTGTCATTCTGACCTCCGATTTTAGGGGGTACACAAGGGGGGAGTGGCAGGCAGGGCAGAATCTTCTCATTTTAAAAATGATTTAGAATCTGTATTGAGCAAATCTGTGAGGAATGGGATCATTTCCAGAGGACAGATAAACCTATGTAAATACATGTATTTAAGGAGGCAGGTGTTATACCTTAAAATCCGCTCACTCAGAGAAGGCTAAATATTTCCCATTTTCCTCTTTCTTTAAACTCAGGAAGCTGGGAGTAGGAGGACCATTTTCCCTGTGCTTTTTTTATCTGTCTCATTTTGTATGATTTGGACCTTTTCTTGTAGAGTGTTGATAAGAATGTGATAGTTCAGCAGCACGGGCTTCCAGAAAGGAGATAGTAGAGGACGTATTTCACAAGCACATCATTCTTCATGTGGATTATCCTCCCCTGCTGCCAATGAAATGATCATTAGTCAGAGGTCTCAGGGCCGTGGGGATCCACATGTGTATACAGAGGGCCTCAGCAAAGCGCAGGGACTCTCCCCTGTTTGGGGGAAAAGGCTTTGGAGGACTGGTCTGAACTTTCCCCCTAAAGGTGCAATTAGTCATCCTTATACTGTTATCACCACTGGGGAGGTCGGTGTGTGGGTGAAGATCTCATTTGGACATTCCTCTTTTGGTGTGACATTAATTGTCTGAAGTTATTTCTGGAAGGCTCTTTCTCTAGGTTTTATTTGACCTTTGTGCAGTGTGAAATAAATGTTTTCATCCTTTTAGCCAGATGGACCTATTAGTCAAAGGAGCGCTAATAGTGTGGGTGGGTATCAGCTATACCCCATTGTCCTGCAAACCTTGAGGACTCAAAAATAGAACTGTAATGTAGGAGAACCTTGCTTTTCTGTCTTTTTCCGTGAGTATTATTCAATTCAGGGTGTTGACTTCCTCCCTGGTTGTTTCTGATGGTGCTAGATAGTCTATACCCCCATTTCCTGGTGTCTGATGCCATGTGAAGATACCACAGAGTGGGCTTTTTGAAGCTAGCTGTGGGTCAGATAAATTTAAATATGGTGGCACTCATACCCACTGTGGAGTCACAATATGACTTCCAGTCTGTGACTCTGCGGCAATTGTGGCCTCCTGGGCATGTCCTTCTTTGAATCTCACTCTCTTTATCTTTAAAATGGGGATCGTGATACCTACTTCTTAAGCTTGATTGGAGTGTCCTATTAAACCACCTTTTTCTAAACTAGCCTGGAATCAGCTGATTATTTATTCAAAGCACAGATCCCCAGGGCTTCTAGTTTTAAGCCCAGGGAATTGGAATCTCCATGGGGTACCTGGGGATTTGTAAGTTTAACAAGTGCCTCAGGGGTTATGTGATCAGGTAATTTTGGACAATGTTGCCTAACAGAATATACCTGAAAGTAATATGGGTCTCTACTCCCAAAGTAATATGGGACTTCCAATCCCTGTGAGGGATTGGAAGCATTTTAAAAGGATTCATGAATTTGGTGAATTTAGAAATGGAGACCTTCTTGTTGACCTGTAAGAATATGTTTGGGGGCTTTCAGCCTCATGACAGCCTCACACCCTGAGGAAGCAGAACGGTTAATGCTCAGAAATGATTATTGGCTGTGCAGTCATCCCTGCCAACTTTTTTTTTTTTTTAATTAGCTTTGACACTCCTGACTCATTCTATTTTTGTTAGCGCAGATTTGCAATCCTTCTCCCCCTGCCCCTTGGCCCTGTACTTGGGTACTTGCGGGCTCCTTCAGAGGCCACCCTCCAGGTTCCCTCTCTTTTAGAGAAGAGACTGTGGACCTTGGACACCAGGCACCCAGTGCCTCGTGCAAAGGTGATTGGTTGCCTCTTTCCTGGCACACTTATCTCTTAACATCTGTCTTTCTCTCCTATTGTTTCCTTAGTCTTCAGTTCTTTCTTTTCTATTTCTGCCTGCAGGATCAGGGTGAAAGCACTAAACCCTTTGAACTTTCTCAATTGTACAATTGGATAATGACAGCACTCACTCCATGGGTTTAGTGTACAGACAGAGTGGGGTAACAGGACAACTTGCAGTGCAGTGCTGAGAAAGTTTTTGAAGGAATTAGCTATTTTATTTAGTTCCCTTTCTCTCTCGATTTTCTCAAGGATTCTTTGTCTTATGTTTCTGGCATAGTGGAAAGAGGAAAGCCCTTGTAATCAGACTGACCTGAGTTTAGTGTCTTCGCTGTGCACTGTCTGCAAGAACCTGGAGGGAATTACTTCGCCCCCTGAGCCTCTGGTCCCCATCTGGATATCCTCTCAGGGTGATTGAGGAGGGTCTTAGAGTTACTGTGGATAAAAGGTACGGCACATAATATTTAAACAATGCATGGTTCTTTTAATGAAAATCCCCATTGTCCTCTCTTCTAGAATAAGGAAGATGAGGGTCTAAAATTGAATGTACCAATGCCAAAAAAAACTTTGGGCGGTAAAACATGAACTTGGCATCCTCCGGGCCAAAGAGAAGTTCAGATTTGGTGTTTATTTGGCTCTGACTGTGATTCTTTTGGGAGGCTTTGGGGAAATGAGTGCCAGAAAGGCTAGAAGGTGGTTTTCCTTTTCTTTTTTTTTTTTTTCCCCTTTTATTATTTTAGTGGAGTCAAGGCTAAAAAGTGATTGGATTTCACCTTGTCTTGAAGCTTTCAGACTTGTTTTTGGCAGTGACAGTGTGTACGAAGTCCTCCTCCTCCTCCTCCTATCTGGTTTTCTCTCCTCCTCTTCTCGTGTTTCCCCTTACCTCCCCTTCAGTTATTTTTCTTATCCTCCAAAATATGGCAGCTATTCTGGTTTATCTGGGTCACTGAGAAAATCACCACCTGGCCTGTAATTAATTTGTAATTCAGCTCTTATTCTTTTTATTATTTAAATGAAAATAATTATTGCTGTTTTTGTTATTACTAATAATAATGCTAATTATCATTTATTGCATGCCTTGTCTTTATCTGCACTAGGCGTGTTATCAAATGTGAACTCTATCAGTCCTGGAAACCATGGATTAAAGCAGGTGGTGGTGTTACCATTTTGCAGTTCAAGAACTGAAGCTGAATGTTTTCTTAATTTGCCACATTCTAGGTGTTGAGTGGGTAACTGTCCAGAATTTTGGTGACACGAGAAGTGGGAAGTCAGGAATTTGAATAATAAAGTTTGGTATAATCAGACAAAAACATTCATATATGTATATAAGTCCTGAGATTTGAGGTGACTGGTAATAAAATAAGATAAAAACAGTGATAAAATTTTTTTAAAAATCACGGAGTGAAAATATTTTAAAAGAATAACTAAAATGAATCTAAGAGCTTCATAGAAACTATTAGGTTCTTCATTATTACTGATAGGTTTGTTTCCAAGCTTCCTAGTGGCCAAAACAAAGATTAGAATATAGTCAAGATGAACTGAATGAACAGATAAGAGCCTGACTGCTGTTCAGGAGAAGGAGAACTTGGAAAACCCTTGGGCCTGAGAGAATTTTCTCATATATTATCAAGGTTGGCAGCATTCTATAAATTATTTAAAAGTGTGTCCTTTTAAATTCAATTATAATTTCAAATAGACTTTTTGTTTTAAAACAGGTTTGGATTTACAGAAAAATTGTGATGACAGTAGAGAGTTTCTATATACTTGGTACCCAATTTCTCTATTATTAACATCTTAAATTAGTGTGATGCATTTGTTCCAATTAATGAACAAATACTGATATATTATTAAATTCCATACTTTATTCATGTTTCTTTAGTTTTTTCCTAATGGCCTCTTTCTGTCCCAGGATTCTATCCAGGATACCATATATATTTAGTCATGCCTCCTTAGGCGCTTCTTGGTTGTGACAATTTCTCAACTTTGTTTTTGATGGCCTTGACAGTTTTGAAAAGTACTGATCACGTATGCTGTACCATGTCTCTTTGTGGGAATTTGTTTGATTTTTTATTTTATTTTATTTTATTTTATGATGAGACGTAGATAGTATATTTTGGGGAAGAAAGACCTTCTGTGATGAGTACCATTCTTGTTATATCACATCAAGGGTATATGTGATCAGTATGACTTGATGTTGACCTTGATCACCTGGCTGAGGTACTGTTCATCAGATGTCTCCACTGTCAAGTTACTCCTCTTCCCCTTCTATGTCAAACTCTTTGAAAGGAAATTGTTATTCACAGCCCACACTTAAAGAATAGGGAGTTGTGTTTCACCTCCTTGGGGCGGAGTAGCTACATATA